AAATTCTGTCCAGTGCTCTGAATGTCAGAGTGACGAAGTTCAACCGAGCGAGGGAAAACAATAGGAGTATCTATGGCTCTTGAAAGCTAGTGTAAAGACACGCCATCTAATTTGAGGCGCACATGGATGGAATAACGAGATTTCCACTGTCCGTATCTGCCACCCTGCGAAACTACAGCCAAAGAGAATGGGCTTGGAAGAATTGGCGGGAAAAGACGCAGATGACCATTTCGAGCACACAGCTATAAGAATTTTCTGCATGTATCTGACTGCAATAATTACGGGCAGTGCTGGATGTATGCGACTGGAATTGCGTCCAGAATCAGTCGAACCTTACCATGTGTATGGCCCCATGAGGATGAACCGGCCAAACAGATTGACTGGGGGGGCTCCTTCCACGTGGCAGACTCACAAAAAGAGAACAAAAGAATGAATGCACCTGTCCGTGTTTGGCTGAAGACTCGTCTTATTTTCCCCCTATTGAGTGYCCTGCCAGCAACGAAAATGGTGGTGTATCATTCCGTGACCTAGAAGGAGAGATGYCCTCTTCTCTCCATTAGGTAAGTGACGCTGCACACTGCAGAAAGGAAAAATAAAATAAAAGAATAAAATACTGCTGTGAATCTATCCATGTTTCTGCTGAAGATTCATTTCCTTTCCCTCATACAGTGACTGACCAACCGGGGCGTGGCACACTAAGTCCTTGTGCTAACACACACACACACACACACACAGATGAGAGAAAGGGAGAGAGAAAGAGAGAGAGAGAGAAAGAGCAGGCTCACTCAGGAAGAGAGAGAGAGAGAGAGAGAGAGAGAGGAAGAGCAGGCTCACACAGGGAGAGAGAGAGAGCAGGCAGATGCTGAGAGGGAAGAACAGAGGCTGAGGCAAACAGACAAAGGGGGAGCGAGAGAGTTCCAGTTTTAATTTTGCTGCGCTTTTATTCATTTATTGTTTTTTTAAACTTATTCCTTTAATCTTATTTACTCTCTCCTATTGCTGAAGAGCACTGCGTGCCGACGGGACTAGACAACCCTGGTACTCGATTGGCCCCTTTCACCCTACTGGTCGCCGAGGACCTCGGAGCGGGCGCGGCGAAGTGACAGGCGCCGTAGCCCATGGCTTCAGCGAACGGTAGGTAGCCCTTTTCCCGGGTTCTCTCCCAACAACGTGGGCGTGATCCCATGGGATGCGTGCTCAAGCATCCCCGTGCAACATGCTCTCCAACGCGTCTCGTCGGCCTTTGAGACACGTCAGCATCAGGAAAACCGATGCAAACCGTGTCTCAACGGGCTCGACGAGCTGAACGCGAGGGCTCACCCTCCTAAAGAGGGCGTGAGCAGCGCCGTGCAATTTAATAAATCGCACAAGCGCTCGAGCGCGGATGATGGTCTCCTTGACCCACACCACTTGCGTCCCGATATTTGACAACATCAAGTTGCAGACATGGGTGGAGCAGGGGAGCCAAGTGATCCTCCTGATGTAAGGCTCGGGGTCTGTGGCGAACCTGCGCGCTGCCGCCATATAGTAACTGGCGGAATCTGTGCAGAAGCCGATCACGTCCTTTGCAGGAAAGAATAAGATGATGGCCCGCCACCTACGGTACACGACGTCCGTTGTGTCTCGGACCGACCCATCACGTGCAACGGTGGCGTACAGCAGGGCGCCATTGGCGCCCCCTGCCAGGAAGTTCACGAGCGGCTTGCCGCTGCACGACTTCCTCCCGTCGGAAAGGATAGTGGCACCGCTGTGCCGAAAAGTGGCGCGCTCCTCACTCACCATCGTCGCCACCTTCGCCCTCTGCGAAGGGATATCGGCCCCCGATGTAACCCTGAAGGAGGGAAAACGGAACTGGATAGAGCAAGGCACTCTCTGTGCTGCCTGTCGCACCCTCTGGAACTCCGGACCACGGAAGGCGTTGAATGGCAACTTCTTCACGTAGATCCACTGAAGCCACGCGTCATGGAACTCGGCCAACTTCTCCCTGGCGTACATCTCGACAATCGTGGTCTGCCAAGCCCTCTTCTCCCTGCCCGTGTCTGGCACCTCGACACCAGCCTGCCCCACTGTCCTCTTCTCCCTCCTCGCGCGGTCCACCTAACCTCGCGGCGCCCTAGTAGCAGGACCCGCTCCAGCGACGCCTCTCTACGTCATCACCACCTCCTCCCTTGGCAGGTTAGGCTCTCCGACTGCCTCGTCTGCCTCGTCCGCAACCGCCCCCTCCCTGGCCCCACCCTCGCGGCCCTCCTCCTCATCGAGGGCGCCCTGAATGTCGTCCCTCTCTGCGTCGTCCATCTGCTGTGTCTGGCCACCCTCGGGCGCTCTCGTGTCTTGTATGCCCTCGTCTGCCATCCACCTTTGCACCCACCGGGCCTTTTTTTTTTTTTTTTTTTTTTTTTTTTTTTTTTTTTTTTTTTCTGCGTCGCGCCGAAGTTCGGACACCCAAAAAATATAAATGGGCGTGTAGGGCTTTTCCAGCCCTACACGCCCATATTTTTTTATTTTTATTTTTACACGTAAAAAATGGGAAAAAAAAATACTGCACCGAACTCGGCAGGTCGGCCTAGGCCGAACCGGGCCAATTCGGTCATCGGCCTAGGCCGCGGCCGACTCGGACCTCCCGGCCGCAGCCGGGCATGCAACATAGCTTCAGGGACATGGTTCTCAGTAAATGAGCAGAACGATCAGACAGTCAGCCGAGTCTTATTGGAAACTGACCGTAATCAACACTAATGGGTCCAGATCCTTTCTTTTTTTAAAAGGGGTTGTAGAGGTGTCGGGGACTTAGCAGTGATCGGGGAGCCGGCGGGAGGGCAGTGGATCAAATCAAACTCCTCGACCCAACTTACAGATATTACAGAGGTTCAGGCTGATGCTCCGTCCAGACAACTTGGAAACCTCTCCCAGATCAGAGTGAAGGAAAAATGCAACGACGCCGGGGATTGGACATGTACCCCTATCAGAGAGCTAAGATTAGACCCCAAGATGTGGAGTTGGTCAGGTTCGAGGAACTTCCCACAGGAAGCATGGCTCACGGACTACTCGTCAGCAGGAGGGTATGAACTACAACAACCAAGAAGATCACCGATCATGTGTGCAACGAGCCGATGGAATCAGGTTTCCACAACAGAAGACAATCATCTAGCGGGACATATCACGATGCTGGAAGCAATTGCAGAAATTGTCGATGCAGAGAGCAGCAACGATCCTCTGGCTGTTATCACTACTGGCCACCCCTTCTGCAGTTTGGTTAGCAAAAAGGGGCATGAAGATATCCTTGGAGTGCAAGAGGTGCCACTGGCCATTTGAATGGACGGTACATCTGTGGCTCTCCTGCCCCCTTTCCAGGAGAATTTGGATGTGGTGGCTCACTCATTGGGCCCGCATCAGTGGCCCAGCCTTTCCATGGGACGACCGTTGGATCTTGTTCGGCGGTGTCCCTAAGGGTTTCGCCCTGAACAAGGGCTGCGGCTACGTTGCCCAAGCCATCAGAGCTTGCCTCTTTTTGGTCATCTGGGAGGTAAGGAACAAATGCGTTTGTGAGGGGAGATTCCTGTCTGACCAGTCAATCAAGGCAGCAACAAAACTGCATATCAGAAGAAGCATTAGAGCCGACTGGAGACGGAAGGTGACCACGAAAGCGCAGAGGGGCGCTGGCCTGGGTTCGTTTTCAGAAACCTAGGCTATACTTGGCAAGTTGGCCAGAATTCAGGAGGGCAAATTGGAGCTGGACCAATGGTTGGTTAGCGTAGACTAAATACCTGGGCACTCGGTATCTCTCCGCAGTAGGACGGCAGTAGATAGAGGTAAGAGGGGCTGGAGTGAGTGCCAGGACAGAGTAAAGGAGCTACGGCTCCCCTCCCCGGAGTAGGGGTAGGTCCTTCGTATTTGGAGGACTTGGAATTGATAACTGTGTCTTGGCCGAGGGATGATCCCCTGGGGGTGTGGTCCCACCCCGTAAGCGAAACTGGGTAATGCTCCCAGCCTTTTCCGGGTAGACTATGAGGACCCCGGCCTTTATTTCAAGTTTGTTGGAAATATAAGCCTTGGGCATTGGGCCCGTTTCGCTGCCTCACTACTGCAGGGGAAGTACAGGAAGATGGCTGCCCCTATGAGGGCATATGGCGCAGAGCCCGATGGAATGGGACCGCCCGTCGAGGGAGGGCGTCCTGTAAAGTTGGTCCCACTACGGACAGGGGCCTGCCGAAAAGGTTTTTATGCTCAGGGGCGGGACAGGGTAAATCGGCCGTCGGATGGGCGCCACGCTAACTAATGGAAAATATAGGGGCACCAGACAAATTTCTCCCCCAAAAAAAAGGATATTAAACTGATCCGAACCGAAAAGCCAAAAGGCCGAGAAAGATATTTGAGATGAATCTCCTCATCTATCGGAGATGGAGTCAGCGCCTTGAAGATGCCCGTCCTCTCGTTGGTTAAATAGCGATCTAACCACCTGAAATACATACCATCGTGTCAATCGTGCTGAAAGGCGCTGAAGAGGACTTCGGGCCCACAGCCAACAGGTTGGTTTGCATCGATCTCACGCAGCGGACGTTTGAAAACGGGAGACGCTGTACGCTGAGCACCCACAGCCCGCTCCTTCATCCATCTCTCTCTCTCTCTCTCTCTCTCTCTCTCTCTCTCTCTCTCTCTCTCTCTCTCACACACACACACANTCTCTCTCTCTCTCTCTCTCTCTCACACACACACACAAACACACACACACACACACACACACACACACACACACACACACACACACACACACACAGAGTCTCTCTCTCTCTTTTTTTTTCGGTGGGTTACAAACACATTCACGCACACATTGTCCTTCCTCACACTTTGGTTCTTCTGCGAGGTCGTCATCCCGATGGATCGTCTGTCGAGGTCTGCGTTTTGGTGTTCGGGAGGAGAGGGCCGGGGAGGAGGAGGAGAAGGAGGTAGTCGCCTATACGCCGTCTGCCTGTTTTGTTGTTTGTGTCTCTCGGCGGCGGTGGTCGCTGCCCAGACTGCCGGCGCTCCGGTTGCTAGACCTCCTCCTCCGATGTACGCTTCAAACCCCACCAAAGGTGTTATCGATTCTTCTCTTTACTATCCTGCAGATGCACAGTGTCTTATGGCAGCTATCAAGAAGTTCGCTACCGCCGTAATCGTGCGCGATCGGACGAAGGCTGCGACGCTGTTGCGACTCGTTTTCCACGACTGCATGACGACGGGCGGCGGCTGCGAGGCGTCTATTCTGAGCGATGGCGAGATCAACAATCCCGTCAACGCCGACTTGAAGAGAGTGGTCCCTGACATCAACACCATTCGAGACCAGGCGGGAAGAGAATGCGGCGTGCTTCCGACGTTGGCGGACACCATAGCCAGAGCTGCCGCTGCCGCCGTCACCTTCACCGGCCTCAACGATGTCGTTTCCTCTGGGTTCCAATTGGGACGACGGGACCTCGCTCCCAATCAGCCTGGCAATGAACCGACTACTTTGCCGAACGAGAACCAGTCATTGGACGCCATTTTGACATTGTTTGCTACCTTCGGCTTAACCGCCAAGGAGAGCACCGTGTGGGCCATAGGAGGCCACAGTATCGGGGTTGCCGATTGCGCCCATTTCAGCTCGCGATTGAGCAATGTGAGCACTTTTCCCGGCTGCTTGCGGCCGGCGGATCCCACCCTCGATCCCAGTCTGGCTTGCAGATTGGCTCGACAGTGCAGCATCCAAGATATCCGCTTGCCCTTCGACTTTGTGACTCCTTTCTCCCTGGATACCAGCTACTTCCAGCTGCTGCTGAAGAAACAAGGGCTTCTGAAATCAGATCAAGCATTCTCTGCCCATCCCCGAACGTCAGCTTTCATACGTCAGTACGCCACTTTCCCTGGACTATTCAGCGGAGACTTCCTCAAGGCGTTCGTAAAGGTATCGCTCTTTAATGTCAACAGCCCCCAGACTGCGCCGCCGACCCAGTATTATTACCCTTAGACTGTGCTCGATCAGCTACGGTAGTGCTTTTTTCTGTTCCCTCTTAATCTGGGAGAACTGCGGGCTCGTTACTCCGCAGATAGATAGAGATAGGGCATGCCATGCATATCTTCCGAAACAGTTAGGCGCACTACTGACGCCCCTTTTTTGTAACTTCGCCCCACCTGCACCCCCACCCACGTTCATAGACAGATACATAGATAGGTAGATAGATAGATAGATACATAGATACATAGATAGATAGATAGATAGATAGATAGATAGATAGATAGATAGATAGATAGATAGCCAAAGATAAAATAGTTGTTGCCGATAGATGCTAAGATTTTTGAAAACCGTGTCAGTATCTATCCGAGTTTGTTTCAATAACAAAGAGATGAGATTGATAGGTAGAGATAGTACTGTCAGCCTTCCAGACCTGATTGCTTGCCACTGTTGAGAGGCTCGATTAGACAGCATAAGAAGTATACGTGTTCTTTTTGAGAAAGTACATAAATGGCCCTGTGTGACACTGTTTGGAAATGCTAAGATTACCATCTTCCGCGCGAATACAATGCAGCCTAATTATGAATGTATAGAAGCTACCTTTCGGGCTCCGTACAGTCGAAATGAGCGTGCGTTGTGTTCGGGGGAAGACGGGAACCAGATGCCAACGTGCCATGATCTGCCGGGGAGGCCGGGGAAAGGGGGCCGGGGGGGGCGGGGGGGGGGGGGGGGGGGGGGAAGCCCGGGTGACCAGGTTCGTGCCGACTGGGTTAATTTTGTCCTTGCAAAATTTAAGGGGCTATGTCTGTCGATCTGCGTACCAATCTTCTATTAATGTTGCCTTCATACCTCTATGACAGCAGCGATGGCGGCTTGGCCCCTTTTACTGCCCCCTTGTGAACAGTCGTCCGCCCCCGAGAGCTGCGGTGGCGGGGACGAGTTCATTTTCTGCAGCCTCGAGGCTCTCAGGTTTGAATGGCCCTGCGCTCTCGAGTACCCTAGGGGTGAAGTATAGTACCCAATAATTTAAAATCAAATAAATAATAGCATGGGTGCTTTGCCATTCCCCCCGCCATTCATTGTCACCACGTTTGTTGTAATGGCACGTGGCATTCGAATTTTTTTGAAGATTGGATCCTCGTGTCATCACCTGTACTTTCTTTTGCCCCTTCTCAATTTTGAGTTGGCGTGGATGTCCATGCATGGTTATGGTGTTTTGAGTAGATCGAGCGCGTGATTTGGCGTTGAGGATGCTACTAACTATTTTCTTGTGTTCGCTCCGTCTGTGTGCGACATGGACACATGCATTTGTTATTTTTATTTTTTATTTTGGCTTTTCATCATGCGGGCCAGAGAAGTTGTGATTTTTTTTATTTAATTTTTTTTTTTTGGGGGGGGCGGGGAGCAGCATGTGCTGGGAGCCTGGCCCAGCGTCTCATATGAAATGTATACAGGAAATTTGATGAACGGGGGCCATTACCCGGCTTCCGCTGAGGAACACAAGTAGTAGGAGTAACTGCTGAGAGAAGTGCTTTTAGCACTATGTTGTTGTTTCTTTCGCTGGACCGTTTTGTTGGCTGAAAGAAGTTGTGATTTTAACACTGCTGAAAGAAGTGATTTTAACACTATGTTTTGTCTCTTTTTTGGGGAGACTAGGGGCCTGGTTGCACTACTCGCCATCCGTCACAATTCATGGCGGATGCGTGGAAACACTGGAGAGTGGAAAAAAAAGAGACTCGTGTCGAGCTCAAGGCCTGGCTGCACTTACTCGCCACTATATTTCTTCTACAGAAAAACTTAAAAAAAATTGTCTACCTGATGTTGACTCACGAAGCCGTGCACTCTCCAGAAAGTTGTTTTGTGGAGATGTCCGAGGACCACCCTCACAAACCGCCGTGGACAGGCAGGGAAACCGAAAACAGTCTCCGCAACTTGTGTAGACGGTGTGGCGAGCCGTCTGGGAAACCGAAAACACTCCGCAACTTGTGTCGACGGTGTGGCGAGAGGTCTGACACATTTTGATTGGCCAAGTCTGGAGAGTTAGGGCCAGATCCCACTGGCAAAGAGGATTGGAAGAAATATCTGAATCTTGACGTGTTTGTCTACAGGTGCGAAAACTTGTGATTGATCTACTTTTCTGCCCCTCTGCCTGGAACACATCCAGATTCAGACATTTCTTCCAATCCTCTTTGCCAGTGGGATCTGGCCCTGCAACCAGGCGCCTACTCACCAAACTTGGAGTATGGCGAGTAGTGCAAATAGGCCCTATAAGGGGTGGACCCCACTGCTCGGCGGCTGGTGGAAAGACTGCGGAAAGACTTTGGCGGGTTTCCGTGGGACCCCACCACCAAAGTATTTCCAAAGCTCTGGAAACAGCAAAACATAAAAGTCGGAGGGTCCCCCCCCCGAAAAGGAAAGTTGGGAAGGGATTGCGGTGCACCAAAATCATCCGTCGCTGGACCAGGACACACAACGGCCCACATCGGAACAGTGCGGCCTGGAAAGAAATTTCCAGGAAACCTAGCAGTGGGGTCCGACCCTAAGGCTATAACTGCAGCAAACTGCTCTTACACAGCCCAAGTGTTGTAGTCCGAAACCTGTAGCCAGAGGGAAACAAGGCCGAACCTGCCGTTGATAAATTAGATCGGCTGCTTCCAGAATTTGAGCCCCTGGCCCAGGTGCCCATGTACTGCTGCTTTCCCTGAAAAAGTGACTGCGGCCTAAGTCACGTTTTCAGGCAAAGCACCAGTGCATGGGCACCTGGGCCGGGGGCCTGACACCTCAAATTCTGGAAGCAGCCGATCTAATTTTCACAGCTTCTTCGGCCTCGTTTCCCTGTGGCAACATGTTTCGGACTGCAACACTTGGGCCGTGTACGAGCAGTTTGCTGCAGTTATAGGGCCTACTCGCCATAGGCCAAGTTTGGCAAGTAGCGCCTGGTTGCGCTTACTCGCCAAACTTGGCTAATGCAAAATGTGTCAGACTGCTTGCCACACCGTCGACACAAAATGCAGAGAGTGTTTTTGGTTTCCCCACCGGTACACGGCAGTTCGTGGAAGGTGGTCCTCGGACCTCTCCACAAAACAACGTTCTGGAGAGTGCACGACTTCACGAGTAGACATCAGGTAGACATTTCTTTTGGGGGGAGGTACGTTTATGTCACATGAGAGTTCGTAATGGGCAGAAAAAACAGGCATCGGCGTCGCTGTCAGGGCCTGAGTCCGAAAAGGCGTTCCGAACTCAGGCCGGCGGTGGTGTCAGGGCGGAGGCTTCATTAAGGCGGTTTTTTTTTTTTTTTTTTTTTCGGTCGGTTGCGCAGCTTGCGCCGCGTCGCGCTGCGGGGGCAAGGAGAAAAAGAAGTTCTTATTTTTTTCCGTCGGTTGCGCCGTGCGCCGTGCTGCGGCTGGAAAAAAAACGAAAAAAAAAAACAAAAAAAAAACAACCATGGTCGGGCCACCGCCGGGGTTTGGCCTATACATCTGGGCCATGGCCAATCTGGGGTGTGGGTGAGTTGTTAATTCGGTGCAGACTACCCTTGATAGTATCGAGCTTGTTCACACAGAAATGAACACTAAACCAGGTAACAAACAGCAAACCCTCTGACGGGCTTCACTATAGGAAATATTAACATCATAGTCCACCGTCATCACCCACCGTCTGACCACACCCCAAGACCTGTCAACGACAAACGACAATCGCTGTCAGCAGCAGTGAGAGCGTTCGCTGAAAAAGAGACCTAGTCAGTTGTCCTATTACTATTAATAGCTCGCTATCCTCGTACCTTCCTACGCACTACTTGTCCCAATCTGACAGCCCCAATTCAACTACCATGCCCTGACCCTGACAGTTCCCTTAGGTACCCCATACACTACTAACAAAGGGACAGCTGCTTCATGACCGGGCCCCACTCGGGACTACATGTCCTAACGAAGAGACGCAGGACTTTTCGGAACATCTCTTCTGGAAATTCTTGTCACCTGAGACCGCGATTCAGCGTGAGCAGGCTTTCTCCCACTCTATCGACATTCAAAGTACATGCTTTAATTCTATGTAGCATCCCATTGATCAGAGTTCGTTTCTGTCTTGCACTGGTATAGGAGCTAAAATCTTGGAAGCACCTATAGTTCAGTCTCTCACTTTTTTCCCAGATTTCCGCGAAGTTCTTCACGCGGTGCCAGCACTCAACACTCCTACCTTCAATTTTGACCCGACAACCCAAAAAGTCCCATCCGGACAATCCTCCATCAGTTCTTTTTAACGTGAGGTTCTGATCATAGGAGCTCTCAAACTTGTCGATCAGCCTTGCAGCCTTCTCTTTCCTACTCTTTGCCCAACTGTCCCAAACAAACAAGAAAACGTCCTCTACTAATCTTATTCCTTTAACTAACTTAGCGTCACGGCCGAGACTCTTCAAGAACTTCAATTCACAAAACGCACAGAGAACGCATGCAATTGGGGGGCTACTAGATTTCCCCATTGGAATACCCTCCCTCTGTATAATCAGTCTTCCCGAAGCCCACAAGTACGAAGCCCCCAATCTGGGGTGTGGCCGAGACATCTCGGCCGTGGCCAATCTGGTGTGTGGCCGAGACAGCTCGGCCGTGGCCAATCTGGGGTTTGGCCGAGACATCTCGGCCGTGGCCAATCTGGGGTGTGGCCG